ATTTTAAGAAAGCTTCTATTTTAATCTAATTTGAAATTCAAAATTCAATTGGATTTTAATTAAACCTTTCCTAAATATTAAACCTGAGTTAATAAACTTTATTAATCGTCCCTTGATCAAAAATCCCGCCGACTCCCTATGGGGACCATTTAAAGTTTCTTTCCTAACTTCAGTCACTGCCTATGGAAATATTTCTCAAAATGCCTAAATCTCTGGCCGAATTTTACCTAAGCAATATTCGCTAATTCTATTCCTAAATCACAGCCTTGGTTTAGGAAATAATAAAACTTTCCTAACTCCTCAATATCCCGCCGGCTCACCAACCCTTCCACCGCCTCAATTCTCTCCTGCCAGCTTTTCTTTCCTATCCCATTACAAAAGCTGATTTGGAACCTCAGGTTACTCCCCAAGTCTCTAATTCCTATGCCTAAGAGTCCGAATCTTCTCATCAGATATTGGAAAACAAAATAACTGGAATTGTTTTCAGATTTTGGGGTTTTGGTCCACTATTCTCTCAAGGTCTTAAGAGAAATTTCTTTCTCTTTGATTGTTTTCACAAGTGTTCCATCAAGTGTGAAGAGTTGATCATCAAGTACTCATGAATGGCGAATCCGACAACTGAATTCGATCTGGAAATAAAATACGACTTCTTCTACGACAAACTTCTTCAACATCCAGGCGATTTGTTTTTTAACTTTGACTAAGGTGAACTCCTCCCCTCTTTTCAATTATTTTTCTAATCCCCTAATTTTGTAGGTGATGACGAATCACAAGGAGCCGTGCTTCACCTTTGCCTAAGCTTAGTAGACGTAAGATTGAGTGCACTTTTATTTGTTTCTAATCTTATTGTTAGATTAGGGATTTTTGTTGAAAACTATTCTATTGGCATGACTTGATTTCCTATGTTGTTTTGGTAGTCCAAGTGCTTAGTGTACAACTTAGCCTAAACAGAAGTGACCACTCTTATGTTTTATTTGTTCGTTTGACTTTGGTAATAGTCTTAATTTTAATTGCTCTTAACAATAAATCATGCAAATTCTTATTTCATCCATTTAAGCATTTAGTCCTGCATCAGAAGTACTTGAGTTCGCAAGTAACCCTAAGGTTAATACTTGAGTTTGCAAGCAAACATAGCAAGGATTGGCAAAAACAGCGAGAAAAAGGGCTGATTTCAGAGAGAAATCAGTAAAAATCTAGCAGGAAGTAAATTGGAGAAGAAACACAAGGGAAATACTTTGATTCAATCAACGAACAAGAAAAATAAAGCAAGATACAAGTTTCTTCTATTCGAGAGGAAGAAATATTCTCCAAATCTCTAATAAAGCCTAGAGCCCAAACAAAACAAACCCTAGATCTCAAAATTCAGCAAATCTCAAGATACCCTCAACCCTAGTCCCCAAAGGACTAATTAAAGCCAAAGGAAGCTTACAAAATCCCTAAATTGCCCTCAAATCTAGCAAGGATTGGCAAAAACAGTGAGAAAAAGGGCCGATTTCATACAGAAATCAATAAAAATCATGCAAGAAATTTAGTACATTGGAGATGAAACAAAAAAGAAATACTTTGATTCAATCAACGAACAAGAAAAATAAAGCAAGATACAAGTTTCTTCAATTCGAGAGGAAGAAATATTCTCCAAATCTCTAGTAAAGCCTAGAGCCCAAACAAAACAAACCCTAGATCTCAAAATTCAGCAAATCTCAAGATGCCCTCAACCCTAGCCCCCAAAGGACTAATTAAAGCCAAAGGAAGCTTACAAAATCCCTAAATTGCCCCTAATTAAAATCCCCCCTCCTCCTTAACACAAATTTAATTAAGTAGAGGGCCCCACTAGGGCTTCCACCACCCTTGGTACCGCCATATGCTTGGGCCGACGGCTATAGCAATGAATCGGTCTCTATTGGACCGGTTCAACTGACCCCTCCTGAGCCGACAACATAACATGATCCTGCAAGTTTGCGAAATAACTTGGTTTGGATAAAGTTTTTTGTAGATCGGAGGGTAGTTTGGAAGTAAATGGTGTCTGTAAAGGTTTGCAATTACTCATGGCTGTTGTTTGAAGTAGCTCATTTATGTAGGATTGTTGAGAAAGCTGGAGGCCTGAAGCAGTCCATGTTAATTGAATATTGAGAAAGCAGGAAAGTGGACCAAGATCACGGGTCTGGAATTTTTGTTGAAGTTTATTGATGAGTGAGGAGATGAAAGTAGAATCATTGCTGGTGATGAGTATATCATCAACGTATATCAGAATATATATATATATATATATATGAAGATTATTTTTTTGAAGGCTAAGAAAAGAAGGATCGGCAGAGCTTATGGTGAAATGTTGAGTCGTAAGGTAAGTGGACAACGTAGCAAACAAGAGACGTGGTGCTTGTTTGATAACATTGATAGCTTTATGGATGGGACACACATGGTTGATATGAGTAGGATCCTGGAAACCTTGTGGCTGAGTCATGTAGATGATTTCAACAGTGGTTCCATGAAGGAAAGCATTTATAACATCAAGCTGAAGTATTGGCCGGTCATGATGTAAAGCAACTAAAAGAAACATGCATATGGTGGGTAATTTAACAACATGGTTGAAGGTTTCATTATAGTCTATACATATTCCTACTTGAATCCTTGAGCAACGAGACGGGCTTTGTAGCGTGTGATAAATCATTAAATCCATAGGCAAAACGTCTGAGTTTGTAAATCCATTTGCATCCAATAATTTGTTGGTTGGTGGGAGAGGAGGTTTAAGAGACCACGTCCCTTGAACTTGAAGTGCGTGAAATTCATCTGACATGGCTTCGCTCCACTAAGGGATTTTGTTAGCAATGGTAAAGCAAGTAGGGGTAGTATGGAAAGTGTGATGAAGATCCAGGATTATTCTTGGTTTAAGCGAACTTGTATGTAACCGAGTGAGCATGGGGTGAGTAGATTTGGCGTTGGCAGGAGGAGTGTTAGTTGAGGAGGTAGCTGGAGAATGAGATACGGTGGAGGGCATAGAGATGACGGGTGAGGAGAATGAGCTGGGAGAGGATGTTTGTAGGACTGAAGAAGAGATGGTAGAGTTATGTGGTTGAGCAAAGGTGGTTGTTGCTGTAGTGTTGTTTATAAGGAAAAAGAGTGGTGCAGTAGGGGCAATTCCGTTAGTAGTAGGAATGCTAGTATAGCTAGCGGGGATGGAAGGAAAATCATATTCGTCAGAGAGAACATGTCGAGAGATGACTAGCTTGCAAGTGGTAGGATTATAACATTTGAATTGTTTCTGGTTGGTGGCATAGCTGAAGAAGAGGCAGGGGCAGAATGTGGGGCGAGTTTGTGAGGAGCATAAGGTTTGAGCCATGGGAAATAACGACATCCAAAGGGGTGAAGCTGGTATAATCTGGTGGACCATGATATAGTAGTTCATTGGGTGATGTAGATGATGTATTTAGGGAAGGGAGGCAGTTAATGAGGTGAGCTGCGGTTAGGAGAGCTTCAGTCCAAAATTGAGGTGGTAGATTAGCATCAACGAGAAGAATTCGGCCAGTATTGAGTAGGTGCCTGTGTTTACGTTCTACGGTGCCATTTTGCTGTGGGGTATGAGCTCATGTATACTAATGGGTTATGCCAGGTTGGGAGAGAAAGAAACTCAATAAGGTATTGAGGAATTCGCCTCCTCCGTCAGTGCGGAGAGTGCGAATAAGTAGATTAAGATGCTTTTGAATAACATTTGTGAAGTGAATGATAGATTGGGAAACCTCTGATTTTTGTTTGAGAGTATACAACCATATGTATATGGGATAATAATCTACTAACAACAAATGTATACGGTATAATAATCTACTAACAACAAATAGTAGTGAAAACCATTATAAGAGAGCATAGGGAAGGGACCCCAAACATCAATGTGTATTAATTCTTAAGGAACCTGAGATATATGGTGAGAGGGGGAGAAGGGGAGCCAATGCATAAAGAGTGAAATTTCTTTGATATATCAGCTAGAGTGTTGGAGTTGGGATGGCCGAAGAGACGATGTCAGGTGTGAGCTGAGGACGGAATGGCGACGATAGAAGCAGCAACAACGATGTGGGACGTACTTGACATTGGAGAGAAGAAATTTGAGTGTAGGTGGTATGGTGACATCGGTTGAAGTGGTGGTGTCGGATGTGAGAGCCGGAGGCGTATTTGGAGCTGATGCGGTGGAGTCATCCATTGCAGATGACGAAGAGAGCCGTTAGGCGTGTGACTTTGATACCATGTTGAAGCTTTTGACACGGAGCTCACAAAAAAAACTAATGAAGGAACAGAGGAAGAGAAACAAGAAATGAACAATAACCGTAGCATTGATTCGTATGTGTTCTAATATAGAGATAGCTTTATACAGAATGGTAGAAGGAGAATGTGTAAATACTAAAATATCCTAGGTAGTTACATAAAGTAGAAAAGCGGTTGTTAGTGGCGGCTAGCAGGTCTGATGGACGACAGCTCTGTGATTCGGTTGGAGTGTGAGGAGAGTGGAGCTGAAATGCTATTGTCATATATGTTAAAAAAAAATGGAGTAGCTCTAGTGTTAGATGAGATTAGAGAGAGTCGTCTAAGATGTTTTGGTCACATAAAATGCCAGCCTTCTGATGACCTGATTAGGAGTAGATGTATTAGATCTGACATATATTAAAAAGGTAGAGGTAGATCTAAAAAGAATTGGTTAGAAAGTATTAGATATGATCTTTTTTTAATTAGATTTAAAAGAGAATTTGACTCTAAATATGACACAATGAAGAAAAAAAGATTCATGTAGCATACCCCACGTTCTGGGATAATCGCTTAATATTGTTGTTGTTCTACATAAATTATTGAAAATAACGAGAAAGTTATTGACAGATAAAATTATTGCTTTGATATGAAAATCTAAGCAGTGAAAAAATTGCCCCAAGCAAAACCTCTATAACTTCTCTCATTTTATGCAGGAGCATTGCAACAATCAAATTAATTAAAATATATCATCACTTGTGATTGTTTTCAGCTACAAAATGAAAGAGGAAGGGTACCTACTAGAGGATTTGCTCCGGACATGAATGAGAACAACAATCCTTGTTTTAATGAGATGATCAACGGCCCATTTCACGGCATGCTGGCTGTTCTTGTCCTTGTCGATGGCCACCGCAGTTGGGCAGATTTCTGATACAGGGCTTCGGTCGCCCATCAGCTCCGACCACAAGAGACTGAGCTGCAAAGGTACGCTTATCGACCACAGGCCACCTGTAATGACTTCGTTCGCTTGTTCTTTATGCCTGCATTGTAGGAGATGAATGATGGTATGAAGGGAGAACAAAGAGGAGAAGAAGATAAGATCTGTCTTTTTTTTCCTCTCTTCCTCTTTCTTCTTACCGTCATTGCTTTCCCCTCTTTTTTGGGAACAAAATTGTAGCTTCCTGGAATCACGGAATTGTATAGCTTAACTTTGCCAAACTGCTAACGGCTGAGGACCAAAGAAGGGCCAGCCGTTGAGTCTGGCCACATATTTAAGGCAGAGAATAGGTTGGTTGGAGGAGCTAAGGTCATTTTCTATTTTTGTATTTAATCTATTGATATTTTTGAAAAAAATATTCTGAAAATAAATTGAATAGGAGGAAGATTGGGGAAATAGTTATTATTTGGGTAATTACTATGTTTATTTTACATTATTTTGAAGCTAAATTAGTGAAAAATCTGTAGGCTGTGGATTCTTTTGGGAACTTGCTGTTAGATTTGGTCAAACGTGCTGAGGGAGTGGGAGAAAAAAAGCTAGATTTGTTAGAAAAATAATGAGCTTGCATAGAAGTTATTAAAAAAAAGAATTGCTAAAATAAGTTTAAAATCTATGGCAATGATTGAAATGATTAATCATAAAGTGAATTTCAGGTAATTGTGATAGGCTTGTTGCGTATTGAAGTTAGGGGTGTCAATACTTGACATCATACGAAAAGCTTACTTGAATCCAACCCAAAATTTTAGGTTTCGAAATGGGTCGGGTTCCCGGATTCGACCTGTTTGAAAAAAACGACCCCAGTTTGGGTTAACTTGGAAACCCGAACTCAACCCGGTTTAACCTATTTGGAAAAATGAGCGATGTCGAGTCACAGTCGTGTCACGCCATCACCTTGCCTGCCACCGTCGAGTCGCTCAGTCATTGTCGCTATCACTGTCACCTGCGTAATCCGTCGTCCAACACATCCTTCAAAATGAGCTCGCCATGATGCATCACCCCTCTTGCACCGTCGCCCGCCATCGCCTACGCCGATCGTCGTTCAACGGCTCCTTCAAAATATGTTCGCAGGTCGGGTTGGGTCAGGTTAACCCGACAACCCATATAGATCGGGTCTAGGTTGAAATACCTGACCTGTTTGCAAAAATGGGTCAACTGGTGTCGGGTGAACTGGTGTCGGGTCAGTTTCAGATTCGACCCGAACCCGACCCATGACTCGATTTTGACTGCTTTAGTTGAAGCTTTCATTAATTATATGAGAGGGTTTGTAGTTTAGCATTGAATGAAAATTCCACACATACAATGTTAAGTCACAAAGGAGCTTAAAAGAGACTAAGGCATTATTTGGGACAGCTTTCTTATTGCTTTTTAAAGCAGTTTTCTAGTACAAAAGTTAAAGGCTTCATTTGAGATAGTTTTATTTGCTTTTTACACTAGTTTTTTAGTACAAAAATTTCTTGAAAGTATAAAAAAAAGCAGTGGTAAAAAACTGTCCCAAATGAAGCCTTAGGTTTTGTTTGGGACATCTTTTGACCACTAATTTTCGCTAGTTTCAAGAAATTCATGTACTAGAAAGTAGTAAGAAAACTGTCTCAAATAAAGCTTAATTGGTTTTCAAGTGAAAATTTTGAGATTGAAAGTAGTTATATGACTTAACTTAGGTTCAGTTTGGAAAGGCTTTCTTAAATCTTCTTGAAGCAGATTTCTAGTACTAAATTTTTGTACTATAAAGTTACTTTAAGAAGCAATAAGAAAGTTATCCCAAACGAAACCTTAGTTGAAATTATTTCATTAATGTAATTTGTAGATTACAAAGGATACACTTTTGACAGTGGATTCCTTCCTTGCTGATTCTGATGGGTATTGCCTTTATTGGTGATGGTGGATATCAGCCTGGACGATTATAGGCTTCATCGAAGGCTTTAACCTTACTAGTGATAACGAGTATCACCTTTATTTATGAGCAAGGGTGTCACCTATTTTTGCACAAGTGTGACCTGGTTGGAAATGACGAGCATTAACTTTGATATATATGGTAGGCATCAACATTGCTAGTGAAGGTGAGTGTTAGTCCTGTTAGCCATTATGGATATTAGCCTTACTGATTATAATATGCATGATCTTAGTTAGCAATTGTGAACATCAACTTTATTGGTAATAGTAGGTGGCGACGATAAGCTTCTGCTTTATTGGTGATGATGTGTAATGATTTGAAATTTGAGTAAATAAATTTAAAATAAAAATTTAGAAAAATTTGGGCTGGAGTGCTGCGACGTTATGAGTGGGAGCGCAACGATATGTGGAAAGCGTTGCCATGACGTTGAGCTCTCTATTTTACAGTAACTCTAGAAGCGACATGCAATGCTGCAAAGCCAAATTTAGAGTGTTGCAACTATCAACACTAAAAAAATATTTTTTATGATGTAAATTTCCACTTCATCACTAGCACCATTCCCTCCCCCTCCATTTTATTTTAGCTGGGTGGGTAAGGAAAGAAGAGGAAGAGAAGATAATAAAGGGAAAGGAGAAAGAGGAAGTGGTTCGGAGCATTTTCATTCACTAGTTATGCTCAAAGATTTCTTCTAATGGTGGTAGATAACTCGAATCCTACCTTTGTTTTAAATGATTTTGAGCTCTATGATTTTAATAACCAAAATTGATAAAAAATTATTTCTCATGATTTATCAAACTTTTATAATGTAACTTTTTGTATATGATATATATGATTTTTATGAGTATTTTAACTTTACTATTATTAAATTTCACCAAATAAATTGATAATTATGATTTTTCGAAGTAATAAATAATGTATAGATTTTTTTGTATTTCATATATTATTATATTTCATATATGATATTGAATAGCTAGCATAGAGAAAATGATAAGATTAATATGTTATAAATATGGTATTTGCATATAAGTAAGAAAAGTTAATTGTTAACAGTATAATTAATATGTGTTAGCTTTTAAATTAATAATATTGTGTACATAAGGGTAGGTTGATGGGTTTTCCTTTAAATAAAAGATTTGTGGTATAATCTTGGATATTATCCCGTAAATGATTACGGAGGCGGGTAGAGAGTGATAACTCTTTATTATTTATTGAAAGCCATGTGTTAAAATAAATGATTGATTGAATGATTAATGGATTGATAAGACTGGTGGATGATTGATGGAAGGATGAAAACACCATATTAAAATTGGATGTCCTACCATGCTATTTATAATCGTATCCATGATTGTATTTACATGTTAACATATGAATTGATTGATAGATAGAATTGATATAAAATTTATAGAATTAGCATTGAGATTGATACAATAAGATATATCACATAACATGAACTCTCATGGATGTTGATAAACATATTGATATAACATGCTGATCAACAGATACATATGACATACCATTTGTTAGAAACATATCATAGAATCATTAACATGAATATAGTTGATAGATAATTCATGGTTGTTTTACTGTACAACATATGGTATTGATTTATAAACTTTTATCTATATTTCTTTTAGGTCGATATATTCCTATGCTTAGTGGGATGCTTTCAGTTTAATAATCATATTGATTCTTAAATTGATTGCATAAATATTTACTATTTATACTGATGATTAGTGATTTTATAATGATTGAAATTAGCATGCATATTAATTCTTGAGATAATTCATTGAAAGTATTGGTAGTTTTGGGGTCCTGCTAAGTTTTGTAAACTTATATGATCTATATTGTTTTTAGGTCTAAGAAAGGGTCGGGACCCTCTTATTATTATTTAGGTCGGGACCATCTTGAGTGAGGTTGATCAGTACTTTTAGGTTTTTCTTTTGCTTATGTATTTTGTCTATTCTTTTGTAGTCAGTAGTTGAGATGAAATATTTCTATTATAAGTGATCTCCTTGTTACATGTAAATAAGATATTGTTAAGTGAATCTAATGTTGCTACTTCAGAGAGAACTCGTTGATCTGTGTGTTCTCATATGTTTGTAGGATTCGTAACTCTTAGACCTTCATAAGGTTTTCAGATCCATTAAGAAGTTTAGGAAAACCTCATGATTAAGGGAGGAGTGCATTCTTAACGAGATGAAAAGCTATCTTGAGCTTTTCTCCTGAGGTTACCAATTTGTTATTTTACGTCTTGTCGAAAAATAATTCAATGAAAGTAAGCAGAATGGTGTCAGTCAACACTATTTTGTTTTTCATCACCATTGATAGATAAGAAACTCCCATAAAGTTTTAATTTTCAAATGATATGATATTTTTAATAAAAACTCTTATCTATTGGAAAGATGACTTGATATGAAGGACATTAGCTTTGGCGTCGATGATGAAATTCAGCTTTTTTTGTTGATGAAGAATGACATCAACTTTGGTGTCGATGATGAACTTCAGCTTTACTAATGACAGTGAATGTTTCCCTTGGGATGGCTCATATAATCTTATTGGTGATGATATACATCAATGTTGATGACAATGAGTCAACCTTATTGATAATGATGAGCATTGACCTTGGTGGTGGTGGGTGACAAGCTTATTGGACATTATTAACGTTAACCTTATTGTGATGATGCACATCAGCCTCATTGGTGATGGTGAGCATTAGACTTATTGACAATGTTGCTTATTTGTGTTGGTATCGGTGATGAGAAACATTCTCGTTAGTGATAACATGCATCGACTTAACTAGTGATGACGAACATCCATTTTATTGATGATAACATTCATCAGCATTGTTGAAGATGGTATGCTTCAGCTTTATTATCAATGTTGGACTTCGCCTTTATTGGTGATAATGAGTATCAAGCTTGTTGGCGAAGACAACGATTAATTTTATTGGTGCTATAATTGATTGTCTCGAGTTGCGCGAAAGATCTCATTTGAGATCTAAAAAGGTTGTTACACTCACTTAACCACAATTAGAGCACATACAATTTTCCTTGCCACACATGAGAATAATAACATATCATAATACATTATAACACATAACAATGTTATGCTACAGTTATACGAATACCTAGTAACTACATCATTTGTGTGCTGCATAATGTGGCACACAAATGATGTTATGCTACATTTATTCTTGCAAATGACAAAATGAGAACTACCACATTATGCAGCATACAAATGATGTAGTTACTAGGTATTGAGGTATTCAGCATGCAAATTATCATACATGCAATTTGAATAAAAAGAGGCTATTTTAAAATTAATTTCCATAGATACAATATTCTTCCATTTCAAACTTATGTGCATAGCGGTGTAACGAAGCCAAGCTGTCTCATGAGCGAGCTTTGGATCGACTCAATATATAGCTATTGAGCTAAACTTGAGCTAGTATGGACTTAACTCGTTACCCTGCTAGCCGGCTCGTTTAATATTAATATAAAAGAAACTTAAATATTATTAACATTTTAGATTTGAAGTGCAATTTGCTAAAATTATTTAAAACATATATCATAACAAGTAATTCT